AATTTGTAGTGTAGACGTAACCTCCGACTGCCCCAGAGACACATTCCTGTGTCTAACCAATTCCTCGTGCCAGTAAATAGTGGTGCTTTTCTCAGAGCGAAAGCAAAGGTGAGCCGCCTTGGGGGGTGGGTGGGGGAATGCTATTTCCTATTTAAAGTGATGAGCCTTTTACCCAACCCTCCTGCCAGATGTCATGGTTCAGATATCATGGAACCTGTATCCAGAATAAATCCTGTTTTCTCTGGCTCAGCTCAGCTCCCCCTTTAGCTCTTTTTGTGAAGGCTGGATGTTCACAGGGGCTGTACAATGTTTCCCATTGGCTCATGAGTCACGCAGCATAAAACCTGAGAGAAAAGGTGAGGATGAACTGGGTGAAAAGACAGGACGCTAATTTACCCCTTAGTACCTTTTCTGAGGTGACGCGTGTAATATCAAATAGCAGAGCACAGCAGCCGGCACCAGCTGTGAAAGCAGAAGAATGAGGGAAAGAGTTAGCCGCGCATGGTCACACGATGTCAAGTGGCCACCGGAGCTGGGAACCAAACTGCAGATGCAGGAAGTATTTTAAGTGTCAAAAACAGAATCTAGAAATCAGTACAATAGTTGGACGCTAACGCGCGTGTGTTCTCTCCAATGCCAGCTGATGGGGGAGGAAGAGGATGTGAGCGTGTATGATATTGCCGATCACCCCGACTTCCGCTTCCGAACCACCGACATCGTGATTCGCATCGGCAATGCCGAGGACGGAGCCTTGGCCAAGGAAGATGAGGTGAGTCTCAGGCATGCTCATGTTGCCCGAAGCAGCCTCCAGTCATCTTAGCTGGGATCTCCTAAGGGACCTAAGAGAGTTGGATTCCTCAAGTCCCATTTGGGCACCTAGTGACCACAATCTTCTTTGAAAATCCCAGCCTCTCGTGTTGCCTGATGCCGCTGCATTTTCTGCCCCCACCTTAGCCTGAAAGGTCCCATGTGTACAAGGCACCTGTCCACCTTGGACAGAGTCAGAGGGCACTGGGATGAACATCTAAACCTGGAGGCCTAAGTAGGCACAATCTCAGATTTTAACCGAGGTCGCACTGAAGTCCTCTTTGCCAGGGTGAAACATGGGTTAAACCTGCCCTGAAAGTCAAAGCAACTGGAACCAAAAATGGAGAATGAATTTTGTTTGAGTTTAATTTCTATCCAGCAAGTATCTGTGTAGGGATCCCACACTGGGTTTTCAGGATCACTTCTAAGATGGAAAGTCCAGGGCGGCCCCAAACAAAGGGAGATTGAAGATCAGTTTGTCTATAGCTAGTGACGTTTGTTCTGCTTTGAGAAATAAGGCTGTTCTTGTTATAAACTGAATGTACATGTTTAAGTTGGATTAAGGAGTCAGGAGAGGTCTGAGGGGGACCTCCCTTTTGGAAAGAACGTGAGCTGTTCACTGGTAGTGGGCCTCCTTAAGGCTGCAGGTCTTGCAGACCCTAGAAGTGACTCTTACGCTAACAGAGGGTAGCAGACGCAGGGTAGAAGTGTAGGAAGACTTCTCAGCTCTCTGATAGGCCAAGTAGCAGTAGCATGTCTAAGCTGCAGCAGCATGAAATGCACATCTGAAGCTGCTCACCTGGCCTGTATAAACTTTGTTCCAGCTTAAGAAGCTATTTATTCTGAATGCACTAAACGTGGGGGTTAAAAAGCCGAATGTGTGGCGTGTTTGGCGTTTCAGCCTCAGAGCTCGAGGGCCAGCCTGAGCTGCAACTTCAAAGCACTGTCTACGCAGCTGTCTTTAGCGCATGAGTGCGAGCCGCTCTACTCCGATTCTGTCAGCCTAGCCTGGGCGGCTGGCTGCCATGGGCTAGGTAGACAGGCCCTAGCTCTCATAGAAGTGCTGGGCTCCGGGAACAAACTGCAGAGTCTGTGTGTCTTCCTTCAACTGAGCTGGCTCAAAATCAAAATTCCTAGAACTACCACTAGATGGCCCCCTAAGCCAAAGAAATGGTGGTAGGATCCCATTTATAGCCATCTGAGCAATCAAAAATATTTTCCATACTCACGGGTTGGAGCTTTATAATGTTGATGATGGTCAGAAGTAATCATATAATATGATTCACAGTTTCCTGAGGTGGTGACTTTCTAGTGTCCAAGGTAGTTTTTCATGGAAACATTTCCCCACTAAATAGAATCCCAGCAGCCTGGTTGCTCCTGCTGCAGCCCGTGGTTTCACTGCGTTCGCACGCCAAAAGCTTGTTTACCTGCCTCAGTTACCTGGAGAAAAGCTATTTCTCAAAGCCTTCATTCTCTGTACTTAAGAAAGAGGTAGTGATATTTTGTTTGCTGCTCTTGTTCCCATAGCCCTCGGTAGGACAGGTGGCTCGCGTTGATGTCAGCAGCAAAGTAGAAGTAGTCTGGGCTGATAATTCCAAGACCATTATTCTGCCTCAGGTAAGGTGCTCCTGTCTGGATGCAAAAATACTGCTGGAGTCTGTGTAAATGAATCTTCTTATGTTTCCTCCTTCTCCTTTTACCTTCACCCCGTGTAATGGGGGATTTCCCACTCCTGTAATCCTAGACATACAAGTGCTTGGTCTTGTTTGGTCTCTCCCTTTTCTTGAAAACTAACTTTGAATTTGATGATCTCTTTTCATGGCTCTTGAGTGTTGAGAAGATGAGGTTGTCTAGATTGTTACTATAGAGCCAGATTCCCACCCCCCAGTATATGCCCACAGCTCTACCAATGACCCTCCTTCCTGACCTGCAGCACCCCAGTAATCCAATCACGGGGCTTCCATGCAATTATTGCGTGAGAAAGTTCTGTCCGCAGAGATCTGCCAGTGACCGTCACTCGAGCCCAGTCACCGCTCTGTTTTGCTAACGCATCAGTCTGCCCTGAAACCCCTGCTATTCTAGCTCTAGACCATTGCCGAACTATTGCACTAAATTAGATGGTAGTACTTGATGTGTGGATCTGGACTAGAACCACTAAATGGTGACCTAACCTAGGACTCGATCCCAAATCTCTCCCCAGATGAACAGTTAGAGGTGAGCACAGTGCAAAACCCAAGAAAGACAACGCATGAATCCACTGCCTAATGAACCACTTTACTTTGTCTTCCACATCTTTGTTTCCAGGTTCTTTGAGCTCTCTTCGAATGCCTGTCTCTGCCTACCTTTTAGTCCCGTCTCTCCTCTCCTCTCATCTTTTTTAGTGACGACAGACGTTCTAAAGAAAATAGAATACCTGCCTTTGTAGGGGCCTATCCCCTATCAGAGCAGCACAGAACACATCACTTCTCTTGCTACAGAAGCTCATTCATGTGCAGAAAGCAGTTGTTGATCAGGACTTAAAAAAAAAAAAACTCGAGCAGCTCGGCATTAATTACAGTCGAATGGTCAATGCCTGCACTATGGAAATGGAAGAGGATGTTACAAAGCAGTCTGCTGTCTCCCTTCCCCCTATTGTCCCATGTGACCGGATCACAGGCAGAATCAAAGGTCTGGTGTGTGCTCCACAAAGAGCTGCTCTCACGCCGCGCCTCTGCAGCAAGCTGTGTCACTCCGTTCCCTGGGATTCTGTCTGAACATGTAATTACAGGACTTGGGTGAATGTCGAGATCCCAAGTTATCTGTTGAGAACTGTAATTTTCGTTTCTGTGCGTGTGCCAGAGACTAGCTGGTTGGGCACTTTCAGTGGATCTAAAAATAACCATGAAGATGGCATAACTGGCTGACAAAGTAGCCTTTCGACTCAGATTTGGGGTAGGCCACAAGAGCAGGAAGTCTGGTGGCCTTGGTCTGGCTCCCCAGGATCTAATCTTAGCTGGCACTTGGTTATTGAGTGGCCTGCGACTGGCATAACTGTGCTGGTGCAGGTGGGGATTTTGAGGCTCGTTGGCAGAGCTCTGTGTGTGGAGAGCTTGTACGGCACATCTGCACGCCTGGCTTTTAGCTACTGTGATCAGTGTGTGTCTTTTTATGAGCTGTATGGGTTTTATGCAACATCACTTGAACTTTCAGAAGTTAGGATTAAAACTTCCCATTGTACAAACCTCTTTAATACACCTTACAAACTACTTTTTGTCCTGGAGCTATCCATTAGGTTTTGTTCCCACCCCCCACCTGGCAAACGGGGGGCTAGATGAGTCAAATTTGTATCTGAGTTGATACATTTTCATGTCTGCTTTGCAAGGCTGTCGTTGAGAAATGTAACACACACAGAAGTCCCCTGAAACTTAGAGCTGCAAGAATGGGGGTGGAGGGGGAGGGGTTGTGATGGAGTTTGGGAAAGCTAGACTCTCAGGGTACATAGTGAAGAGGGGTAGGGAGAAAGCACATTTATAAAAGAGTCAGGTCAGCAATTCTAGTAAGGCTTCCTTATCCCAATTAAACCTTAAAAAGTGGCAGTGAAGTACAGTGGTTGGAGACTATTCATAGCAGAGCCCCGATAGCAGTTACAGTGTGCCACACAAGAAGATAGTGAAACATGCGCATTCTAGCTAGTTCAGGCATTGTTTCTGTAGATGCATGGAATGCAGAGCAGACACAGCCAAGCTGGGGTATTGTATTCACACAGCAGCTGACTCAGTTGCAAAAACAGAAATACAAATTTGACATGTTAACACCTGCAAAATTTGTGGGGGGTTCAGAAAGCTGGGACTTCAGTCTTGCAGTTCTAGCATGCATGCTCTCTCTGGTCTGCAACGGAAGCCCCAGCTTTTGGGACAGCTGTGTTTTTAAAAACTGACCCGGCTATTCCCAAACACCCTATTTTCGGGGGGGGAGGGGAAATGCTGATTCAGAACCCAGATCACAGGAACTTCATAAGTGCAGGACTCAGCTCAGCTAGAATCCACCTTACATAGATAAAGGAAAAAATGCTTTTTGGGGAGATTTTGGTGTTGCTAGGATCACTGTTTCTAACTGCCGGTTTCCTTTTAACAGTAGAGACTGATTTATCTCCATCCAAGATGACCGTAAATAAAGCATGTGGATTTCAGCCCTATAGCACCTCACGTCTTTGTTTTTGATTCCCTTAGCACTTGTACAACATAGAATCGGAGATCGAAGAATCTGACTATGATTCTGTAGATGGCAGCACCAGCGGGGCATCCTCCGATGAATGGGAGGATGAGAGCGATAGCTGGGAGACGGACAACGGCCTTATGGAAGACGACCACCCAAAAACTGAAGAGCCGGAGCCTGAGGAGCCTGTAGCGGAAGAGGTGAAAAAAGTAGAGGAACAAGTGCAGGGTGCCGTGGCTATGGCGGTTGCTGATCTAACTGCAGAGAAAGCTGGGAAAGAGGGAGCCCCGAAAAGTTTCCGAGAGCTGAAGGAGGCCATCAAGATCTTAGAGAGCCTGAAGAACATGACTGTGGAGCAGCTGCTGACGGGCTCTCCCACTTCGCCGACAGTAGAGCCCGAAAAGCCCACCCGGGAGAAGAAGTTCTTGGACGACATCAAAAAGCTGCAGGAGAATCTGAAGAAGACCCTGGATAACGTGGCCATTGTGGAGGAGGAGAAGATGGAAGCTATGGTGGAGACGGAGAAGAAAGAAGAAAAAGCTGAGGCGCAGACACCGGTGAGGTCGGAGTGGCCTAGTGAGACCCCAGTGCTCTGCCAGCAGAGCGGAGGCAAGCCTGGAGTCACCTTCACAAGTGCCAAGGGGGAGGTCTTCTCTGTGCTGGAATATGCCCCAGGTGAGTGTGACACCTTGGGGCTAGACTAACTCTTCAGACTCTTCCACTGCCTTCCCCATTGAGACTCCTGTGCCCCAGCAGGAGTCCCCTGCAGTCACTCCCCCTCTCTCAATGGCCCTGCTTCTAGGAGGCGGGGAGAAGCATTACCCACCTGGAATTCGTAAGTCACTTAGGAAGGGGCAATTGAAGAGGGCTCCTGTTTGTAGAGGAGTCTGGTCTGGGAAGTGACCCTGGGTCTCTTGCATTTGTAGTACAGGTTCCCTTTCTTTCCCCTTTTGGCTGGAGGAATCCCTTGCCTCAAAGATTGGCGCTCCAGCATTGCTAAGGGCTGTTGCGATCCACAACCTACCAGCACGAAAACCTCGTTGCAACCAAGTTTGAAATGAGCTTTTCTTGGCTGGGGGAAGGTGGAGGGCTGGAGGGTGAGAAGCAGAATGGAGACAGCTGATGTTCTTGTATCGATTGTGCCTCCTCTGAGTGCAGTGGTCCTTGTTGACTCAAACCAACTTTCACCTGCCAGAAATAAAAAAGACTGCCTGGTTCTGTGGTGCATCGGTGATAGCACAGCTTCAGATATCTGGCAAACCGATCATCCTGGACAGGTCAGCTGGGAAAACGTACCCAACCTCTGCTTTGAGCCTGTAGCTGTGGAGAAAAAGGGGCTATTAACACAGCTCTTCGGCTGAGGTGTAAATCCTTGCCCAGAAGTGGTTGCAGCATAGTGGCTGTAGCGCCTGGCTGCTAACTCATGGCTTGAGATCTCCTATAACAATACAGCCACGTTTCCCCAGCTTCACTGACCAGTATCTTCTCTCTCTCCTCCCCATGACACTGGGCGCAATTGTTTGGAGGGAAAAAACTTCCCTTTGAAGGCGTTTGATTTTGGAGGAGGGTTTTCTGTAATCTGATGGGTTGTAATGCCCCTCACTCCTTAGATACCCACGCCTTTAAGAAAATGGAGTTCCAACCACCAGAAGCCAAGAAGTTCTTCAGCACCGTGAGGAAAGAAATGGCATTGCTGGCAACCTCTCTGCCTGATGGCATCATGGTCAAGACATTTGAAGACAGAATGGCAAGTCCATGTGCTCCAGTCTGTTTGTGTGTTAGCAAAGTGACTGGGCGTCGCCTGATCGTTAAGGCTGAGGAGGGAGTTCCAGACTTAATCCCCTATTCTGAGCTGTCAAGGCATCTACACTTGGCTGAAGTTTATAATTACTGTAAATTGGCTCCTCTTTGCATTTCCAGGAGCCCTGGTAATAAACAACGAGTAGGTGGGAATCTGATACTAGAATTACTTCACCAAATAAACCTGGGCTGTGTAATTAGGCTAAGCAAGGAGCATGATTGGGTGGAGAGCCAACAGGGCAGCGGGCGTAGCCAGTCATGGAGTGGAACCCCTTTGAAATCCTGTTTCAGATCACACATCCGGGCCTGCAGGATGGAAGTGTGATGGGTGAAGTTCAGTCTCTCTCAAGTGAAAGACCACAGCCCAAAGCTAGCACCCGCAGGAGATCTGCAAGACTTGAGCTAATTCTCCAAGTCCCGAGTTAGTGTTAAGCTAATTAAAGCCTCTATCTCTTCCTTCCCCACACCCCAAACTCAGCTCTGCCTTGTTACTAGGGTTTGCCTCTTTTCCTTGGACGGAAGGCAGCCCTGGCATTCACTCTAGCCCTTGCCTGTTGGTGCTCATATCTCCTCTCTTCACAGGATCTCTTCTCAGCACTTATTAAAGGACCCACACGCACTCCTTACGAAGACGGCCTCTTCTTGTTCGATATCCAGTTACCCAACATCTACCCGGCTGTCCCCCCTCTCTTCCGCTACCTCTCCCAGTGCAGCGGGAGACTGAACCCCAACCTGTACGACAACGGCAAGGTTTGCGTCAGCCTTCTGGGGACCTGGATAGGAAAGGTAATGCGGTCTTCAATCTCTTTGCATGGCACGTGGCTTTTAAACAGAGCCAGACTTCCGCCACTAGGCAGCGGTGTTTGCTGCTTCCCACTGGCCCCAGAGGCCTGACAGTTTTCCAGTTCAGAGAGCAAACTGGGAAATGAGGGTCCAAGCTGTGTGCTGGTCCTGTCTGCATTGGGCTTGACCCAGGCCTGGTAGTCTGAGTTTGAACTCTGGATAGATGGATGGAGTAGACAGAGCCAAAGGGTAGTGTTTGAGAGAGGTTTTGAAAGTGTCTCAAAACCCACAGTTGTCCCTAGAAGATGAGCTGTGGACTGGCTAGTATTAGCCACAGGCCCCTGTTGGGACTGAGGGTGTGCGCAGGGATCATAGTGTGAACAGGAGTCATTCTCCTACCCTTTGAGACTTGGTCTTTCTGGCCTTTCTTTTGCCTTCTCTGCGGTGAGCAGCCGAGGCATGCTGGAAACAGGCTTAGCAAAGACATAGGGGGCACAGTGAGTTTAGGGGTGGGAGGGTCTCTCATTCCTGTTTGGGCACCACAATAAATATCCAGCCATTGACACAATCAACAGGGCTGGTGCAGGCCCCGCCTGAGACCCCAGTTCTGGAGCAGCAGGGCGGGTGCTGCATACCTGGATTAAGGTGAACAAGCAGCTGTCCAGGGGAAGCTCCCACAGTATCTGCCCAGCCTGAAGCCAGTGCAGTCGGCCCATCGTTGTACCCGCAGACCTTTAAAATAGGTGTGCACAAATGCAGCTGGGGTCGGGCCCAGGCAGCAAATGTTGGCATGCACCTTGATCACTATAAGCTGCAGTCTGAGGACTGTCAGCTTCCTTGTTTTCTGTGTTAAATGCTGACCAGAACGGATGCTGCTTTCGCTGTTGCTCGTGACAAGCTGTCCGTGATAACTTGTATGTGTGTTCCAGGGCACAGAACGGTGGACCAGCAAATCCAGCCTTCTCCAGGTGCTCATCTCTATCCAAGGTAAATGCAGCTGCAGAGCCGGTGGGGGGTGGAGGGACACTGAGAGACCCCCCTGCCTTGCTGGGCTGTGTGAAGGAGCACACTTTCCCATCTCAGAGCAGCAGGGGCAAGCTGTTACCCATCCCTCTGTCTTTGACTGCCTTCCAGCCCTGTAACTTTCCCTCACCCCGTTCCCCTCTGCAAGAGCAGGCCTCGCTAGCCCTTCGCTTGTTGCCCTGTGCCTGGGAAGGTGAACCACAGCCGCCTCCAGCCAGCTGCTAATGCCTAAAAAAGCTCCTAAGAGGCAGGTCCTGAGGTTGCTGCTGAGCCTGGGTCCTTCTCTTTATAGGCAGTGAGTCACCAGCCTCGCCAGCATCTGGTTTATTTTTGCCCACGTCAATTGTGTTTACACTGGTTCCTAAACTGCTCTGTGGGCTTTTGAAAGGAAGCACAGGTATGCCCAAGCCCTGCACCACTGACTTGCCTGACCAAGACAGCCAGTAATGCTAAACCCTGCTTGGAAACTCTCTAGCAAGCAGTCTGCTGTCCAGAAAGGCGAGGGCCTGACTTGGGAGTATTTAGTCTATGCTATTTGATCTCTCAGCCCTCTGGGTGTCTCTTCCCAGAACAGAAAGGCTGTTTCTTGTCAACAGAGCCGATAATCCCCCAACTTCTTCTTGCAAATTTCTCTGGATTACCAGAGAGATTTGTTAATGCTGCGAGCTCAGCCTCAGACCTCTCCTTTCTGTTGCCTGGTCGTGGGAGAAATGTCATGACCCCACCGTCAGGAGCATTAAAGCAGTCGGGGGCATTGCCAGCAGGGTGGCGCTGGCCGAGTCATCACCACACCCAGGCAGAACAACCAGCCTAAAATGTCAACCGGAGAGAACTCGGTGTGGGTGACTTGCCCGCGGCTGTGCCAGAGACTGGCTGGAAAGGAAAAGGACAAAAGTAAATGTGGCCCAGTCGGCGCTAAAAGCCGCTTTGGGTGTCACTTTAAGGAATGGTTTGATTGTTACAACCCTTTTTTTCATGCGTTTGGCCCTGAAAAGTGGGGAGCTAAACACAGCGCAGGCAAGGCCTGTGAAATATTTCCCCCTTCACCAACTCTTCCGGTGCCCCTCTGTCCTGGCAGTGCACCATGTCCCTCACCCATGCTGAGCTAGCATCTGTACCTGTTACTAGTCCAGTCATGGGCTTCTCCCAAGCGGAGGCCATTCACGGTAGGTGTTCCTGTAGTCTGATAAATGACCACCAGCCCCTGCCAGGAGGCCACCAGACCTGTTCTCCCAAGTGTCCCAAGCAGCGTCCGAGGCCGGATGAAATGCTGGTGCAGCAGCTAGACATGCACCTGCCCGGATTGCCACACGTTACCAGTCCAGCATGGCAACCTTGCTCTGCTGCTCCCTCTGCCTGCACCCCTGCTTGCCATCTTTGTGCTGCAGGGGTCGAGATGGCAGCAGCCGAAGCTGGAGGGAGCTTCCTGGTGGGGAGGGCAGTGGTAGATTGAGGCCTCGGTACCCTTCAGCAAAGGCAGACCCCAGCAGCTCTCCCTTTAGGTCAGAGGTCAGCGTGAGGTTTCCGTTTAACTCTTCGCTCTCCCTCTCTCCTGACAGGACTGATCCTAGTGAATGAGCCCTATTACAACGAGGCAGGGTTCGACAGCGACCGGGGCCTTCAGGAGGGCTACGAGAACAGCCGCTGCTACAACGAGATGGCCTTGATCCGCGTGGTCCAGTCCATGATGCAGATGCTGCGCAAGCCGGTGGAGGTCTTTGAGCATGAGATCCGCGAGCACTTCCGCTGCAACGGCTGGCGCCTGGTCTACCGGATAGAGTCCTGGTTGGAAACTAACGAGCTGGTGGAAAGGAGCCACGAGCAGCCCAATGGGGCTGATTCCTCCTCTCTCCTTTCTGTTTGTGGCACCCTGGCCGAGAGCCCGGTTGACAGTATGGGATTTCAGGGCGAGTACAGCAGCCCCTTGGAGCAGGAGCTGGGGGCAGGCGGCGGCGGCCGAATTTTCCGACTTGGCGCTAGAAGGGAAGGAGGAGCTGGAAGACTCTGGATGTGGAGCCTCGACGCTCGCGCCCAGCGACGGCCATCAGTATTCAGACTCCGAGAGCACGGGCCACGCCAGAGGGCTCACCCTGGCGAGAGACCTAACGGACGAGTGTAAAGCCGCCCAGGACTCTGCCTCGCAGCCTAGTGTGAAACCAAAGAAAAGGAGAAAGAGCTACAGGAGCTTCCTCCCTGAGAAGAGTGGTTACCCTGACATCGGCTTTCCCCTCTTCCCCCTGTCCAAGGGGTTCATTAAAAGCATCCGTGGTGTCTTGCAGCAGTACCGGGCTGCCTTAGTAGAGGCCAATATCCCTGAGTGGAGAGAGGACAAGTGAAACGTCGGGTTAGGGGCAGACAGATGCAGAAGAGAAGGGGAAAGCAGCAAACGCTGTTCCCAATAAACTGGCATTGCTCGTTCCCGGCTCTTCCCCAGTTGGGTGTATTTATAAAGAAGGCAGTAGCCCAAATAGCTCATTCCCGGCTCTTTACTTCCCCCAACCCCTCCCCCATTCCTCATGTTCATTTGATCCTGAAGTGTAAGGAGTTGTGAGCCTACCAAAGCAGACTTGCAGCTGGGCCCCTCTGTGCTCTTTGGTCCCCAGGCACCTCTCTGTGCACAGTGGGCTCCACTCCCTGGCTGCTGTGTCTGACCCCAGTTGGGATTCAGCCCTAAAGGTATGGTTACTGTGGGCCGTGTCCTCCCAGTCCTTCCATTTCCCTTCACTACCACGTCTTGTGGCTTTCATGAAGTCTGTTCCAGCTTCAGAATACTTTGACGTTAGACTCTGGTTGCATCAAAGTCTCCTGCTCCCTACAGGGGTGCCTTCCCATAGCTGGTCACTGGCTGATTCTCAGCTCACCCACTCCTTTGTTTGGTACTTGGGGTGCAGAGATGAAGTGCTACACAGGCTCCTGGTCAGCCCTGGGCAATACCCTGGGGTTTCCCTGTGGTCCTAGCCCTCTGATCTCTCGCCTGGAAGTAACTTCTCCAAAACAGTAAACACATTTCCACTCCCTGTTCTCGCCAGACCTGCTTGCACTTTGCAAACGTACACGAGTCAGCTTCCTGCTGGCACTATTGCATCCAGCAGAAGCCTGGGAGCCCCATGTGCACTGCTTCAGCTCATGTCCAGTTGATCAGCAGCAAAGGTGGATTTAGGGTAGATGTGTTGATGTTAAACCTAGTGCTGCTGATGCTTCTGCACCACTTCAGCTGTTAAATTTCTCAGGCTACAGCTGTTCCTGAGGCTAGATCACAAGTATAGACCTGTACCTGTGGGGGTGTGACTTCACTCCTGCTGCGGCAGCACGGGCTGCAGTAGGACACCGCATCTTTAACAAACACAGCTTTCACTGTGTGAGCCACTACGCATCCCCAGCCCTGCGCAGGCCGGGAGCCAGCAGCATTGGAGACCTTGCATGTACATCCGTAATGCCATCTACGGTGCTGCCGGGTAGCTATAGGAAACGGCTAGTGGGACATGTGTGCGATAGCGGAGAGGGGTTTACACGGAGTACTTTGAAGGGGGTATGATGAAAGCAGTAACTATCTGGGGGCATCCTATTCAGGGTGTCTGCAGCTTGCTTTTAGTGCTTTCTGTGCACTGCCGGAGACCCCCGATCAAGCCCGGCTAGATTTGTCAGGAGTCGAGCCTGACAACAAGCTCCCATCCGCCGTAGATGAGAGAAGCCCGTTTTCTGCCACAGAGGTGGGCCAGCTGTGTCCTTCCCAGCCGATGCTAGGCTTCTCATTCAGCGTGGCTAGTAAAGATGGGAAATAAGGCTAATTCCTCCTTGCCGGCTCTCCCGCCACTGTTACCCCTGCCAAAGCCAGGGGCTGTCAGGCTTCTGAATTCAAAGCTGAGGGCGGAAGCGTCAGCAGGCCGTCTCGCCGCGTTTGCAAAGTGCTCCCGGCTGCCTGGATGGGTTTGGAGCTCGATTGCCCATTAGCCACTGGAAGAAGTTTGATAAGGGCCGTCTCCCGGTCCCATTGAGTACATCCAGCCTGGGGTCGGACTTCCCCGCTGGAGCAGTGTGCCACTGGGACTGGGTGTCTCACACTCTGGTCTCCACCTCAGCACTGCAGAGTCCTCCGCACGAGCTGCCACGATGGATGAGGGAGCTGTGGGGGTGGCTGCATGTTAGGCTTGAGCAGCAGTAGCATGGTGGTGGGGGGGGGTCTGATGCAGTGGTTCCTGGCTGTCTTCCAGGCTAGCCAGCATTTCATGAGCAAGAAAACGGACTCCAGTGTCAAAGGGCAGGGGTGGGACGCTAACTGACGTTGTCCTTTGGGGGTGAGTGAGGCATCGGGTGCAGGGGGTTGTTCCACACATTGCTAGACGTCTTACTCATTGTACTGAAGGCCAGACTACGACTTACAGACTCATTTCCTTTGGTGTGTCACCGCATTCCTCTCTCTGCAAAGGGACGGGGGAGGAGGAGTTGACAAGCTGCTTAATAGAAAGACACAAGTAGAGAACAGAATCTGCTCACGTGCCTGGGGGTCTCTAGCATTGCCCACCCACACAACACACACACTCGCTAGTTGTTTCTCTTTATCTTCTCCTGGAAGGGTGGAGGGGACTAGAGTAGCCATAGCAAATGCCAGCTGTAGGAGCTGATCTGCTTGGAGGAAGGTGGTGGGAGAAGAGGTGCCATTTGTGAGAGCCAGCCTGACTATGCCAGATGAGTCCTTCCCCCTCCCAAGAAGTCTGCCTCTCTAATCTTAACCAAGAGCTTTGCACAGGATGCTGGAGTTTTCAGCTGGGAAAGCTCTTGCTTATTGGCCTTGGGGAGGTGGGGAGTAGGGGGGAGCCTCTCCTGTCCCTTCATAGCATTGCTGGAGTTTTCCTAGCTCTTCGGAGCTGTCTGTCCCTAACTGAGACGCGCACAGAGGTTTACAAGTTTTCTACGCTTTTGATCATGTGAAGCTCCGGGGCCGAGATTGCTGTTGAGCGCACTGCAGCGATGTAATTTTTTTTGGTGTACGTATGTAATATTTAAAGGTTAAAAACAAAATTTAAAAAGGCAAAACCTTAAAAAAAAAAAATGAAAAAAAACCACACACAAAGCCAAAGCATGATTTATATTGTTAGCCTTAAAACTGGCTACCTGACACTGCGATGTACAAATAACAGCCTGTAACTGTTTGAAGTGCTGGGGAGGGGCGGGGAAGAAATATTACAAAATCAGTTTGTAGCCTTGATTCTGTACAGTATTTAAAAACAAACAATGGAACTGCCTATTACCGAGGCCATGCTTAGAGGTGTGTTGTTCACGTGCAGATGTGAATGCCGGGTTGCTTACCATATATGTATAAAGTGCTGTGTGACTTACTTTTTTTTTTACCTGCAAAATTTTTTTTGGTTTGGCTAATTAAGATGTAATAAAGGAGAAAAAGGTGATTTGCCATTAAATTTTGCCTCTGTGAATACGCTGGTTGTGCTTTTTTTTTCTTCCCTGTGTGGTGAGTATATCGCATGCAACAGAACTAAAGATCCTGCCACCTTTATTCAGACTGAGGAGGTGGTTCTTCTGCTCTCGAAATCACCACCCTTGAACTGGGACTCGGGAGACCTGAGTTCTGCTGGCTCGCTCACTGGCCTGCTTGGGTGACTTCGGGCAAGTCATTTCCCCTCCTTGTACCTCAGTGTCTCCATCTGTGAAGTGATTTGAAATCTACTGATGAAAAGTGCTCTCTAAGAGCTGGGTTTTTACTATCCTCGGTGGAGCCAGTGTGAGGAAAGGTGGCAGACTCTAGCCCTGAGGAAGCTCTGTAGCTGACTGGTGCACCTAGGGGCCGATGGAAAGCCCTCTGAGGACAATGGGCGTCTTTCGATGGGCTTTGGATAAGGCTCTTCATTTATACAAGGTTCAGGAAGAGCTGCTTTTCTGTCCAGTAGTTAAGGTAACACCAGGATCCAACAGCCTCACACAAGTTCAGCTAGTCTGGTGATGGGGTCTGAGATGCCAGCTTGTCACCCCTACCTAGCCTGTTCAGATCTAACTTAAACTTGCAGTAACCTGAAAGCTACCACGTCAGCTGTTTATGGACTGATGTGAAATGAGTAGGTTTGCCCAGTGGACACATGCCCACATCCTAAACTACCATTGTGGATAGGACCTCAGCTGGCGATCTTATCAGAGAGGCCAAGGACAGAATGTCCATGGAGCGTGAGGAGGCCCTTCAGAGCAGTGAGATCAGGAAGCAGCCGGTGGAAGCTTGCACCTCTTTGGAAAGAAGGTTTCAGCCGCCAGTGCTGCTGTTGCAACCCTTTCATGACCCCAACAATCAACTTGCCCTTGCTGAGCTTATCTTTCAGTCCCTAGGACAATGTAGGAGCTGTGTTTAGAGACCTTGGTACTGCTTGGGCACAGCGCGGTGAACTGAGGCTGAACGACTCAAACCTTCTGACCGAATGGAATGGGGTGACGTCTTGGCTCCCACCACCAAAAAAGGGAAGCTGAGAGGGGCTCGTGGGTGGTGCCCAGGCCTGGAATTTAGGAAGTCCCAGGTTCTAATCCTGGCTCTTCTGTTGATTCTGTGACTTTGGGCGCAAATCCCTGAATCTCACAAGGCTTCAGTTTTCCCCCATGCTGCAGAATGGGAATATGGCGTTCTGCTCTGGGACGGTGATGGACTTAAGTGTTCTGTGTAAGTACTGGTTTTTAAAGGGCGATGACTGAACAGGTGTGGTTAGAAAAGATTTAAAGGGACAGTCAGGCAGCAGGGACAAGGGTCAAGGACGTGAGGAGAAACCAAAGCAGAAATGAAGTACGTGTGAACCTTAATGACTGCCATGAGAGTTCCGAGCACCATTTAACAGCTCCGCACTCTGCTCAGATCACCTCAAGTGTAGGATGCTATGGCAGGAGCTGGACTGCTGTGGTTTAATGGCACTTGCTGTAGGCTGTAACTGCGGTAGCAAGACTAGTTTAGTTTTATATAGTCATCTTCAGAGAGGAGGGAGGTCTGTTCCTAGGCAGCTATTGCCAGGGACCTCCCTTCATGAATGAACCATGGCCAGGTTGGGTGTACACCCGCACAGGCACGCAGCAGGAGGCTCAGATGTAAAGGTAACACGAGGGGTATTACGGGGGGGGGAGGCTACTCAAGGGAGGCCAGGAAACCTCCAGGGAGTGGGTGGGTAACTTTGACATGCAATCGGACATGAGCCTCCCTTTTTTTGTGCTGCACAGTCTGACAGCTCTGCTCTGAGACAACAAGCTGCTGCTACTGCAGGTTAGGAGCTTTACCCTCCTGAAGCAGAAACCTCCGAGTGGATGCAAACAGCTGGTTGTTCTTAATGGGCACATACAAATGGGGGACACAATGCTGATGGCCTTAAGCCTCGTGGCTTTGCCTGCAGCATGCGCTTCCATTTCCTCAGCAGGGACCTACCATTTCAGAGGAGTTTGCACAGTCTCAATTGCCAACTTCGTTGGTTACCAAATTCCAGACAATTGACTCTGGGCTAAAAGATGAGGGTGCTAGATTAGCAGGCCTAGGGGACAGGATGGCTGCTGTAAAACCAGACTCAAAGCACCTGGGGCAAACTTTGGAAACCCTAGGACCTGGAATGCCATCTGCAGAGAAGCGGCAGCTGTTGAGTTCTAGGCCAGGCAAGTGCCCATGCAGGGGTCCCTTGAAAATCAAATCAAGGGAAAGATCAAGGGTTTAGGAATCCAGGAACTTCCTGGAAAAACTTGTGGATTTACAAAATAAAATTCCAGACCTGCTGGAGCTGGACATGCAGGAAAAGCCTGTATGTGCCTATGTGGTGGAATTCTCCAGAGAGAATCTTTCAGACACTAAACCAGCACTAAGCCTGCAACAGTGGTGTAGGAGAGACATTTCTACAGGCAGACCTGATTATCTGCTGACGGGCACATGCTATTGATTGTTCCTGACAATCTAATCACCCAACAATGGAGGAAGGAATTAGACACAGTTAAAGTGTTTAGACCACAGCATCACTGCATCCCTTTGTACACCTGGCCCAATGCCATACAGAAAGGTACCCCCCCCCCATCCCTTATTTTGGGATATGGGTCCTGTTTGTTGCCTGCCTTGCTGGAGTGAAAATAACTCTGAGCTCCGTTTGATCATGACTGGCTGGCAAACAATTAGACTTTTCTTTCCCTGCTTTAGGATCCTAATTGCATAATTTGCAGATGAATAAATGTGAACAGGAGCTGCTGTCTGCGGTTCCTCTGTCATGGCTGAACATTCTAAATCCGGGTTTGTTACTGTCGCTTTAGATCAAAAATTAGCGGCAACCAAAAAAACTGGTGTCACCATATGAAATGGGTATAATCAGCACTTGGTCGCTGCTCAGTCTGCCTGCACAGCCAGCCCGTTCCCACAAGCGTTTGTCTGTTTAGATCATGTACCTGCACCGTGCTGAAAGTCACAGCGTGCTTCAGCTGGACTGTGGATGTGATGAGTGTATTGCTACCTAACCCAACCCATGCAATGTGGGCCATGGACATGAATGCTGTCTAGGTTTTCATAAGGCTGCCCATCACTGTGGTATCTGACCACCAAGGAGTGCTACGCTGTGTGACTATTGTAACATTTCTGATTGTTTTTAGCGTACTCTTCAAAATGTTTCTAAAGAAACAGCTGTTGGACTAGAGTGGTGGTTTTCCCCTCTACAGTTAAAACATATTAACTCAATGGACCCTGCAAAGTTAATTTTTTTAATACCTTGGATTTGGATGACACCACCTCTCGGCCCACCATGAGTCATCCCAGCCCGTCCCTATGCCAGAGAATAAAGGGATTTTCTAGAGGCTGACTGGGATTTTGTGCAAATGCCAAGAGGCAGTGCATTTTGGAGCAATTCGCCCGCAGCCCCTTGCTGGCAAAATCAGAAAGCAATAACCCCTGAGCTGCTGCTGCTCCAAGAAACTTTATTGCTTATTACACCACAGCAATCCCAGGGAGGAAACAGTCCAACCTGGGAGTTCCAGGTGCTTAGGTTTGCAATGAAAGCAGAGTGCCCACCATGTAACAGCCAAGGCCGCCTGTTTTGGAAAAGCTAGATCTTTATTGTCTCATTTTAAGAATAAACTCTGTCTCCATGGAGCTTTTGGTAGAAATATTTTCTTTAAAAAAATATTGGTTCATTGTAATAAATGTTGGCCCTAGAAGTTTATAGTTTATGGTGGAGCCAGTTCTCATTTCCTCACTGGCCCCAGGGGCTTGGTGCCCACTGTATTTGCTGGTGCTGAAGCAGTGCTCAGTCTCCGTGGCACTCTGCTCCTGGGGGAAAGGGTAGCACTCTTGTGCCTTTAGTGTATAGTTGAGCTGTAGGAAGGGAGCAGACTGGCTTTGTCCTTGTGGGGAACCTAGGAACAGAAATGCAGGGGAGGCCTGTACTGCAGAGAGCCTGGGTTGGCGAGTCATCTGCGGAGTCCCTTGCAAAGATAGGCTGATCTGGAAGCAGAGAAGAGAAGCAGCTGAGCCCTTAGACTAGGGGTGGTGGGAGAAATATCCTTGCAGCTGCTAAGCTGACCCGGAAAGAGCTGTACCTGTATTCGGGTACCATCACATGCCACCCACTGCTCAGGAGGCACCTGTGTCCCATAGGAGCTTCCTGACACAGGGGGCAGGCCAGGCTGTGAGTATCCCTCCCCTACCCTCAAACTTATTAACCAAACCTCTTAGCGCTTGGCCCATAGTGCCTGCGATCAGGCGGAAAAGGACTGTGGTGGGGGTGGGACTCGGGAGGCTGGGCAGAGCAAGGGGAACAAGAAACCCTTGTGAACTATTCCAAAGGAGGAGAGAGGAGCGGGCTGGAGAAGACACTGTGGCAGGAGGTGTAAGCATTCTCTGCAGTGGTCCTTGCCTGTCCTCCCTCACTGCACCCCAGGGATGTACGTGGTCAAACCCTTTTTGAAGCGGTTTATTTGGCAGGTGGCTCAGGAGCCACTGATGATCCTGCAGAGTTGGTCGTGCACCTGGCCCTGCACTGGCTCACACGCCAGCAGCTCGCCGTCCACCGTCATGAGCCCGGTGGAAGCAAAGGGCTCCAGCCGGAAGGCCCTCACGGGGACGTAGTGAAGGTAGGGGCAGTTCAGGTCCAGGTGGGTCCCCTTCTCCATGGCTAGGAAGAGTTTGAGCAGCCCCAGCCGGGAGACCCCGGCTTTCAGGTAGAAGAGGTGCATGGAGCCATCGTGAAGCTTGGCCGTGGGGGCCATGGTGAAGTCAGCGCCCAAGTGCGACTGGTAGATGGCGAAAATAGAGATAAACTCCTCCTCCGGCACAATGGTCCAGTGCTTTGGGACTGGCTGGTCGAAGGGGACCAGGAGAGGGTCCTCTAGCCAGGACCCCTCGTGAGGGGGCCGTGGCACTCCCAGCGCAGGCTGAGGGAGGATGTGGAGGGGGCGACCGTTGCTGCATGGCACGTGGTGGCTATTCTGCTCT